CCTCATGCAATCATGAGGGTAGGCTTTTTTGGAGGAGGATGAATGTAGAGTTTGTGATTGATTCATTGTGTCAATTTGAGAAGTTCACAAGCTTAACTAAATGACTTGGCAATTCCACATCCTAGAGGTAGAGGACTCACCCTAGGACAGATATCCTACATAAAATATAAGGGAATAAAAGAGGCTTGCTCCTCCTCTTTTACCCTTTTTACTTTGGTAACATGAATGGTTGGCCCTTCAGCTACCCTACTCTACCTTGGAGCCAGTTGATTACAGACTGAAACCTTCACAGCAATGAGAGAAAAGTAACTAGGACAGGGACCATGCAGAACCCTCCCCACTCAAGACACATCTCCTTCTTATACTACCCATCCCCAAGTTCTCTCTTCTTTCTTTCTATCACCACCCAAGAATAAACAGTGAATTCCAGTCTCTCCAAAACTGAGCACAGGAAAAAAATCTCTAAAATGTGGTAGGATTTAGCTGATTCAGTTATAATGAATTCTACCACATTTGGAGAGGATTTTTGGTAATGTTAAGCAACTTTGCTTCCAGTCTCCAGTTAGGGAGTCAGGCTCTGCATCCCGATCAGAATGAGTGCCTCCTCACACGCTACAGGACCATTTCCAGCCTTCATTCCCAGCGGGTCCTCAGGGGCTGGAAAAGCATCCCACACGCACATGGCTGTGGTTTTATTACCTCGCACTCATCACCACATTCAGGAAGACAGATTTTTATTATGCAGCACAGTTGCTGCTGTAGGGTAAATTCTGACACAAAACAATTGGGTTCTTGACTGAATCAGCTAAAATACAATTTTAAAAGAATGAAGCACAGACCTGGGATCAGTTTTAGGACTTTGTTTTAAAAATAGCTGCTATCAAGAAAAGCACTTGGATGTGCAATCCTAATAAATGACCACTTCTAAAGAGAAAGCTTGCTTTTTCTAAGAGCAGATGTTGAAAGCCAGAGCTTTCAAGTCTTGTGAATGTTCTGCCATTCTATTTTGTGTCACTCGTATATGAATATAGTCATTTGTCCCATGTATTTTTTTAAAATCGGTACTGGGGATCGAACTCACAGCCATGCACTTACAAGGCAGGCGCTTATGCCGCTGAGCTAAATCCCCAGCCCCCTGTCCTATGTATTTTAACCATTAAGCATTTTCAAACATTTAAATGGAATACCACAGACTTTCTGTTATACTGCTAGCAGTTGTTTTACATGTTGAAGTTAAATGTTGCTTTTGGACACATGAGCATCCACATTTAGTTACTGCCCAGAAATGTGCCAAATGTAAGGTTAGCATGTGCAAAACCCAGAAAGATGACAAGAGTGTGTGAACACAGGCCACCCACATCTGTGCCATCTCCTAGCCTTCTGTATTAAACAGGTCTCACAACTCACCCATACTCTGGAGTTCATCATAATGAGGGTCCCTTCTTTCATTCACTAATGGTTCTCACTCTTCTGAAGGACACCTGACATACAGAGCTTTCCCTTGCCCCAGAGACAGTGTGGGTTGGGGGCAGAACCAATATCATTTTGCAGTACTAAGTTTTTATGCATGTACCAAAAATTACACATATGCCCAACATGCCAGGGAAGAGATAAGGAAGGAGGAGCTATGAGAAGAAGAGTTTTCTGGAAAGTGCAGGCTTTAGAAGGTTTTGCAGGGCAGAAGAGACTAGAGTTTGACCTTGAATGAGGCAGGGTCTTGATAGGGGTCAGTGATGGGGAATAGAGGGAAAGAGGCTGTGTAAAGAGGATTGAAGGCAAGAGATGTGTTGGGGGACAATAAAGAAATAACATGCACTACAGCCCTCTTTTATAGTGGAGTGGGGGGATTCTGAGGAGAAGACTCCAGTGTCTTGAAATAGTGGACTAATGTTACCCTCATGACACAGTTGAATTTATTTCTTGCTGATCTGACTGCTGATAATACAGACCTGGGGCTACAATTCCATGACTGACCCAGGGGATCAGTCTCTGTGTCCACTCCATTATCTACCTCTCCAGCAGAAAGAAACAGTAGAGCATGCAGGTTGTGTGTGAAGAATTTCACAGGTCCCATCCTGTGAGCACGTAATACTATTCCTACCTTCTTCCTATTGGTTAGAACTCAGCCACATAGCCATGCCCACCTGCAAAGCATTCTGGGAAATGTAACATAGCTCTATTGAGCGAAAACAGGAAGCAGTGTGGCCAGGACTGACTTCTGCACTGATTTTTAGTCCAATTAGATTGAACTTTATCCCGAAAGCAGTAAGAGTCACCTTCAAACTCAGCAGGGTAGGGACAAGCTCAGTGGAGGGAGTGGTTTTTATGTTTTGTATGCAAGATCACCTCCACATCACATTTGCCATAGATCTTCAGCCATATTTAGCAGATTAATGACATGGTGGAGGTGTGCCAGAAAGGAGTCCCAAACACATGGAACCTTCCAGGAGTTGAGGCTGGAAAGCCATCAGTGCTGTTGTCATGATGTGATAGTGAGGCTGCGGTAGGAATTCATTTGCTTTTAGATGTTTATTGCTGCTGTTTTAACTCTGTCGGTTTACCCGATGGCCACGCATTATAGTTTAACCCGAGTCCCTGCTGAGTTGGACTCAAAGAAGCAGATTGTGAGCTACGACTGTGTTCCTAGGAGGGTCTTAGACTTTCTCTGGAGGCGTTAATTGGCATGCAGCTTTGGGACTTGGGCCTTGCCACAGTACTACAACCCAAACAAAATAAAACTTGGCTTAATCAACAAATCCAGACTGGAGTTCAAGTTACTTTAAGGGACTCTTGGGAAACACAAACTGCAGTTGTATTGTGTATGCAAAGTTTGCCCTTTGACCTTATAGTAAGAAAAATTACTGTTGAGCACATGATCTTTTACTGGCTTTCCAAAATGTTCAACAAGCTTACTCTTTTGCAATTATGCAGCATTTTTAAATTTTAAAATATACTTGGAAAATAGATGCAGATCTGACAGGAACAGAGAACATCAATGAAATGAGTGTGTTCTCTTGTGTGACTGAGAGAATCCAGCATACAGCTGCCTTATGTGGCCTGGGCTGTAGAGTGTTAGGAAGTTATTTGCAGACGAATTTCCTTTACGTTAAAAGCCAAAGTCAGCATTGCCCTGTCATTCCTCTGATAGAACATTTTTGTTTTGTGTGTCAGCTGAGGCTGACATTGGGGGTTGGCATGGACTCAGTTTCCCCACTCTGAGTCTAGGATGGCCTCCCACTTTAATACTATGCAGAACTGAGTGAGAACTCTCAGAATAGCCTAGGATTTGGGGAAAGACTTTTAAATGATTCTTGCTGATCCGGAAATAATCTAAAAACCACAGAAGAGCTGTTGGAGATATTTTCAGGTATTCTCTCTTGGTTTGGGGAAAAATCCAGTATTAAAGACATTTAAAAATAACAAATATTTAAAAAGACATGTAGCCTATTCTCTTTTTCATTTTTCCCCTCCAAAAGTGATCTATAATAATAAAAATAGTGAGAACAGGAAGGGAATGTGGAAGCAGGAGGAGACCAGAGGTCAGGGTGAATGGAACCATACAAGGTAGAGGCTGAGGTCCGCTCTTCCTGTAGAAAGTGCAGGTGACTGTGTGAGGAAAGGCCTGGGTTTTCTTCTGGTTTTATAAACACCTCAACATGGATCCTCTCTCTTCTGGCCCAGGGTCTTCCAAACCTTGAGGTTTTAATTTTCCAAGTTCCCTTCCAAGTGGATAATTTCCAAGTCTCCTTTCCAAATGGATAATATATATCCACTCCAGAAAAAAGAGACCCAAAGACCACATTTTAGGTTCTAGCTCTAATCTCAGAAAAGGCAATCCATTGAAATTCCATTTTTCCTAGAGATCTATTTACCAAATTCAGTGATTTTCTAAAAAATAAATAAATAAAAATTCCCTTTTTATTCATAAAGTTCACAGCAATTCACACTGCAAGAAAGAGTTTTCAGGATCCATGTTGCAAGGGCAAATTAACCAATGCGAATGGACTGGAAAGTGCTTTCCTTTTTCCTTTTTCATCTGCCCAGCTTCCTGAGTAGGCATTTCCAGCTCACTGAGACTGCATAGCAGGTGCCCCTGGTGAGGAGGGCGAGGGGCATCTGCATCTGTGCATTCCAGAGAGGAGAGGTGGTGATGGGCAGGGGAAAGGGGTGTGAGGTTAAGGAAGGGGAGGGGGAACCAGAGAGTGTGGGGAAAGAGAGGGTGAAGAGTGAGGGAGAAAAAGTAGGGAAGAAATTTGAAGTCTCCTAAACTTCTCCCTCAGGCCTCCAAGGCTCTTCCAGTTCTTCCAAATCAATCAGCAGGGCCTGTGCTAATTGATGGAAGCAGGTGTGGTCAGCTTGCTGAAGCCAGGGGAAGGGTTCTCGTGAACATGGCTTTCAGAGCTTCCACTTTCTGCAGATTGGCTACTTCTGCTGCCTGGGGCACCGTTAGGCCATCCCAGGGACACTTTCCAGCTGTGCAGAGAGGGGCCTTCCTGGAGGAGGCTGTCTGCGGGAGTTACATAGAGATGGGGTGGAAAGAGATGGAAAAGTCTCATGAAACACAGAGGGTTCCTTTGTGTGTGAGTTGGAGTGGAGAGAGGCAGGCCCTGTGGAGGTGGCCCACTCATCCTGGTTTGCATGAAACTTCCCTGTGTTAGAATGGAAGTCTCAAACTTTAGGCAGAGGGAGAAACTGGTTACCCTAGACCTACTCCAAAGCCAGTCTTGAAAGAGACAAGATAAAGGCAGGCAGTGACACCTGAGGGGAGGTGACCCTATCTGTGATCACTCTTGGGAGGCTGTCTGTTTACAGGGGCCACACGGAAGGTCAAAGGCTGCTTGAGGGAATCATAAGGACCTGGGCAGTCACTTCAGGCATTCATGGATAGAGAGATTCCCAGGATCCTAGGGAAGGGCCTAGATCTGTTCTGGGTGTCTCGGTTGTGCAACCTGTAAGCACTGACTTTTCTAAATGTGCCTTTTCTCTCTCTCTTTTCTTAGGGAGGCAGGACACAGTGCGTGAGAGAAGTCTGTCCCATTCTCTCTTGTCCCCAGCACCTTAGTCACACTCCCCCAGGACAGTGCTGCCCCAAATGTTTGGGTGAGTGACTATTTTCAGGTCAAAGAATAATGAATTTCTTCCAGGAGTTTCTGTGGAGAGTGTGTATGCACACTGCTCCCTGGGGTTCCGAGGTGGCCCTGGTTCCTGGCTTGCTAGAGACACCTGCTCCTCAAATCAGGGGAGCACAAGGTGTGAACAGGGTGTGGCTTCTTCTCTTGTCTGCTCTTGTCTGGAATCTGGGACACCAGATGATACACGGCACTGCTTTGCAAGGGAAGCAGTATGCCAGATGCCACCTGTAGTCAGCTTAAGGCTGTTAGTGGCACATTTGTTAGAGGCTTTGGAAGTGACGTGTGGAAGGATGCAGACACAGGTTACCTGCAGGGGCAAAGGGTGCAGGTGAATAACAATAGCATGCAGTGAAGGAGAGGCTTGGCAGGAAGCAACGAGTAACAACAGGAAAGAATTTTTCTGAGCATTAATGGATTAATAGTAGACACCAAACTGCATACTGTATGTGCTTTTTCTCGTGCAATCTTTTCAAGAAGCTGTGAACTACAGTTGCTAAAAACAGAACTCCTATATGGGGGGAGCTGCTTTTATCTGTTTCATTGTGGCAGGGAAGAAGGGTCCCCCAAGTCTCTAGGGGTCTTGGGGGCAAATAGGGTCTCTATTGGCTTCGTGCTGTGCCCATGCTGTTTCTCTTATCTTTATTTTGTTTTTCTGAAACATCATTTTGTCTCTTTAGAGACCGCCCCCACCACACACACACACCCAGTCTTTCTGTGTCCTGTGTCCTTGATGCCATTGCATCAAGCCTGGTTCAGCAGATTTCCCTGCAGCGGGGGAGGGCAGTCATTCCGTGGAGAAGCATGGCCAGACTGTAACACTGAACACTGAGGGCCTGCTCTCGCGAGAGCTCAGTTAACTCTGCCTTGGAGTTCCCACTGTCTCTTCTCTGGCCTCCAGCCTCCCCTCAGCTGTGGCTCACACCTCCCTTGTCTCCTTTCTCTCATAGTTTGCTTTCTCCACCTCTAAAACCTCTTGCTTATTCACCTTTCTCATCCACAAGATTCCCACAGCCAAACTGAAGTCTGTTTTCCTTTTATAACCAGAAAGGCAAGTAGTAAAGGCATTTTGTTAAACTAATACAGTTTTCTTCTCTCTGAGGGATTGTAATGTAGTTATGTTTTGTTTGTAGTGTGCATGTGCTTGGGCGTGTATGTGTGTGTATGTGTGTGTCTGTGTGTGTGTTGAGACAGCATCTTGCTATGTAGTTCAGGGTGGTCTTGAACTCATAGGTCGTTCAGGCTGACCTTGATTTCCAATGGTCCTCCTTCCTTCCAAGTCCTGGGATTACAGGTGACATCCAGCTGCTACTGTAGTTTCATCTAACAGTGTTCACTTCCCGTTATATAAATACATGCATGTGCATGCACACACTTACTTTGTAAGTAAGTATGGCATAATTAAAAGAATTAAAGGAGAGATGTTTGGGCATACCTGATGAAAGATATGTGCATATGCTGCATGGATCACCCATGTGCGTCTGTGGCCCTAAAGAGGGGTGAGTCCATTCAGTGTGGCAGAAATGACCATGCCGTGAGCCCTGGGGATGCAGTGCTGCCTCTTCCGGGGCAGCTGTCACAGGGGAAGGGATTTGGACCTGGTCCCAAGGATAAGCAGGTTTGATTAATGCTTTGAAGCCAATGCCATAGGCATGCTGTCTGCTTAGAAGTGTTTCATTTGAGCAATCGCTATTGTGTCGAGGGCAGGTTTTTCTGATCATTTGTGGTTTTTAGACAGACTACAAAAGGAAGAGTAAGTTTTGGGAAACTTTGAAACTTTGAAATAATTCCCCCAAGTGGGCCCTTTTTTGGTCTGGCTAAACTGCAGTAGAATGATGCGGAAGTGGCTTAACTCAGGCTGGCCTCCCAGGCTCGGAGCTACTCCCTTGAGCGTTTTATCTTAAATTGGGCCATGATGACTTTGGGATTAAGCAAAGATTTTGTGTTTTTTGATGGTAGAAAGAAACATAGTCACACAACAAAAGACAGACAGAAAGACAAAAACACCACGGTGCTTTCGATGCTGAAATCTTAGTCTAGTCCGACTTTTGGCTGTCTGGTTACAGTTTGCTTTTTAAATTTCCCCCGGACCAAGATTCCTTCCCATGACATGCCCCAGCCTCATCAGAGAGTCTCATCAGAGATCAGCACACACAGAGCAGCACCCAGCATCCTTCCCAGTAAACACAACCCAGGACTATCTTTTAATTATGTCAGCACTAATAATGATCATGGTCCCCTCGTGCCATGCATGGGTGGTGTTCATGAGTGTACCACACTGTTAAAAGCTTTATAGCCATAATTTTAGGTAAAAACTTAACAGTTTATCAAGGGATAAATGAAACCATTGAACACATTTATTCAGGGGTATTTGAAGACAGGGTGAATTTATATTTTGCATTTAATCTCGAAGTTCAAGAGACTTGTGACTAAGGTATGCATGTACTATTCAGTGTAATTGAAAAGTATGGTGAATGCTTATGTTTAAAATATTTCTTATAATAAAGAACATATTACAATGAATTCCCCTCGAAATACTCTCCTTTGCTTCATACACACTTTAGCCCACCATGTATATGATTTTCTGAAGCAGTTCTGAAAGTCCTCTTTTATGAGTGTCTTCGGTTGTGCTGCCATGGCTGGCTGGATTAATTAAAAATTTTTCCTTTTCATGGTCATTTTGACTGTGAGGAAGGGCTTGAAGTTGCACAGTGCTGGATCTGGATATAGGTGGATAAAGACACACTATCGCGTTTTTATGAGCCTGCCTTTCCATCACATGGCTCTTGGCAGTAGCATACAATGTATTGTTTATCATACCTCTTAAAGATACTCATGAAAGAGAATTTGCGGAACCGCTTCAGAAAGTAGCAAGTATGTTTAAAACAATGGGGAGGATTCTGAGGGAAATTAATGACAATGTATGTTTTACTGTAATAATTCTTTTAAGGTTTTTTTTGTTGTTTTGTTTTGTTTTTTGAGACAGGGTCGCTCTATGTAGTTTAATGGCCTTGAACTCACTATGTTGTCCAGACTGGCCTCAAACTCACAGCTATCCTCCTGCTTCAACTTCCTGAGTGATAGGATTACATGCATGTACCACCACAGCTGGCTAATTTTTAAATTTAAATATTCATCACCACTTACCTGTGTTAGTTGGAATATTAAAAATCAGTATGCTGAGTGTTCTTATTATCAAAGAGTCTTTGGTTATGCAGCTTAAAAGCAGGGCTGCCAGTACAAATGCTACTATAACAATTGATGGTTATTGCCATTTTATAAGTAAAGTTAGCAAGATGCAAAGAAGTCTTACTCAGTTCACAAAGGACTCCACCTGAGGGAACCAAATTAGATCTCACTGTCACTTTTTGAGGATTAACAGGATCACTCTTAATGATGAGAGCCAAACCACTGATTTAGCTCTGCATCTCTACTGTATTCTGGCTTGCAAGCTGACTCTGGTAAGAAAATATTTTTTCTTGACTCAGTACTAATGGTATTTCCAATAACTCTGATTCCAAGAAGAGCACTTATCTTGTGTTTATAAGTATGTTCAGAATTTCACTGGGCTTACAGATAAACAGAGATTGCTATTACTCTTTTTTTCAAGAAGCAAAGAAGACTGTGGATATAAATATTATCAGTGAACATGCATCATTGGGGTTTTTTTTAGCTTAGTCTTTAATTAAACTAACATTCCAGAGGAGTAGAAACTCAACCTTGAAAGAAGTGAAGGGATTAAATTGTGCTTTGTATTTGGGCTTTGTTTTTTTGGACATTCTGGTAGTCAGTCCACTACTTATATCAGGGGAAAGTGAGATAATTCTACAGAGATATAATACCTTCTAAAAGGGTGGACATTTGGCATATGGCATTGGATTTTGCCTCTGAGCCATTTGACTTAGCTTCACCCTGTATGCCTGTGTTGTTCTTTTTTTCAGTACTATAAATTGAGACCAGGGCCTTTGCACACAGCTATATCCCAGCTCTTTTTATTGTTTATTTTGAGGCAAGTTCTCACTAAGAAGGCTAGGCTGGGCCCCAAACTCTCAGCTTATTAGTAACAGCTTTATGTAATTTCTATGTGAATCTATTCAGTTTGTCATAGTGAAATACCATAACTGGGTAGCAATCAAACAACAGAAATGTGTTTCTCACAGTTCTGAAAGTGAGAAGTCCAAGACCAAATTGCTTGTAAATTCTGTGTAGGGGTAAAGGTCTGCTTTCTACCTCATAGATGGTGGCTTCTTGCTGTGACCTAACATGGTGGAACGGGACAGGGCTGTCTCTCAGGCTTCTTTTACAAGAGTTCCAGCCCCATCAATGAAGGCTCCAGCCTTGTGATGTAGCCATCTCTCCAAAGCTCCACTTCTTAATGCTGTCACTTTAACAATGAGGTTTCAATCCAGAAGATTCATGGTTATACATGTCTAGCTCTCTGCAGATGCCATTTCATTAGTTCCCTTTGCTCACTCTAGTCCCAGAGGTATCTTGACTCTCTACCTGTATCCATCCTCCCACTCCTTCCCACTTGTGGGGGTAGTTAGACTTGTGTTTAGCACAGTTCAGGGATTCCAGACTCTAGAAGTCCTTTGTGACTCCCCCATCCCTTGCACATCTCATGTTGGTTTCTTTCCGGAATCTAACCTGTTATTGCATTGAAATGCCCTCTGTACAGTGGACCGTAAGCTCCATGCAGACCCTTACGTCTGAGACATTATGGTTCGCTATGATGGACCTGTGTGCAATCATGATTTGTTGAACTTATAGGTTCATATGGAATCAAACTCTTTGGAATAATGACTCTCTAAATTAATGATCCTGGGAATCTCTTGGTACATCTGGCCCAAGACTCTTTGTGCATCAGACTCACCTGCCCTTGGGAGGTGGCTTGACATCCTGTGCTGTAATTGTTGATGACAGAATGGGACATCCCTGGCTTCCATCTCTCTCATGCTGTGCTGTTGCTTCCCTCCAGGTCAGAGGAAAGTGTTTGACCTGCCTTTTGGGAGCTGCCTCTTTCGCAGTGACGTGTATGACAATGGGTCTTCATTTCTGTATGACAACTGCACAACATGTACCTGCAAGGTGAGGTGGTGCAGAGGGACTGTGGCACACATGCCAGCAAGAGGGTTAGGGTTTCGGGATTATTGGCCAATGGTAATTGTGTTTATTTATCAGGTACAGGCATCAGTGATGCCACCTCACCAGTGCAATCATGCTGTATGTCACCAAAAGTTCACTTGCAACTCATATCTGATAATTCACATTGTAGTCTGGGGACCCATAAAAATGGCTCCTGGTGGCAGGAGCCACATTCTGAGGACCACCCAGAGGATTCTCAAGCAAGACATAGACAGATGGCCATGTTGTCTGGCTTTAGTACCCAACATGAATTTCCCAGAGACAGTAGGCAGTGACGGTGGCTTTAATCACATTCAAGGGAAGGGATAGGCATGGATTTATGATTCATCACAAAGCTAAGCCTGGCAGTTTGGGAAGGTCGTGTTTATGTGTTGTTCATTGTACCGTGTCTTTCTTGAGCAACAGTTTGCTTTTCTCCGAAGGCAGTTGGAAATTTAATTCTTGGTAAAGAAAAAAGTCCACAACTTCAGAGCTTTAGAGTGGTACACATCACACATACACAGACGTCCTTATGCCATGAATTATATGTGAGACCAAAGAAAAAAGCATTTATTATGGGGAGCTTCAAGATCTTTGTTAGTGAGTTAACTCAAATTCTAGGTGACCCAAGTTTAAAATAATTTATTTTGATGGTGATGGCTGTTGTTGTTTTATTTTTGGTAGCTAAAGAGTTAAGGTGGGGGGGGGGAGAGACAGACAGACAGACATAAAGACCAGCCAGGAGATCCACAGTAAAAGGCATGTTATTCCATACACCTTAAGTAGCAGATCTAACCCTGTTATCCCCTGGAGGTTAAATAGCCCAATTAAGGTCACACCTTTCACAGCAGATCTCTAAAAGCCAGGCCCAGTTTTGGAACTGCTCACTCAGTTCCTCTGCAGACACAGCACACAGTGTCACCTTGGGTGATGTGTTAGCTCTTAATTTATGCTCTTTGATCAAACACGATTGCCTTTGATCAAAGGTGTCACAAAGCTGAGGCAGAGACCCAAGAGAGCTCTGTTAAGGAAGAATGTGGAGGAGGAGAAGGGCAGGAAGAAGAAAGGAAGAAACATTCTGGTCTGCAGTGAGTGGGGTGTCTTTGCCATTCACTAGCCGGAGTGGACTGGTCTCTTGAGTGTGGAGTTACAAATCACTAAAAGGTGGGGAATGGGTGCCTGCTGCCCCCGGGCACTAGAATGCCCCACAGTCTAATCCAGATGATAATCAATAGGTAACATTTTGAAGAGAACAAAAGATTCATTGCAAAACATTAAAATACAGCACCTCCAGGATAAGTTTTAGAGAAATTACCTGTGGGTTGTTGAAGGAAGGCCAAATAGGATGTCTGGTCTACCTTGGAGAAATCATCTTTAATTTCACATTTACCTTTGGGTCCCCAGGACTCCACTGTGGTGTGTAAGAAGAAGTGCTCCCACCCCGGCAGCTGTGACAGAGCCAAGGAGGCCTGCTGCGAGCAGTGCCTGCTGCAGGTGCTCCCAGAAGATGTCAGCGTGTGCAAGTTTGGCAACAAGATTTTCCGGGTACGTCAGGGGTCGAGCTCATGGGCACTGTTGCCCTGTGCTGCCTGTTAAACGGCTCTGGGGTAATGCAAGTTGGAGAGTTCTACAGTCTGCATGCATGTGCACATATGAATGTTTTTGTGTGTATCTAATTGTATTTGTGTGTACTGTGGTGTTACATACACACTCATATACATTAGAATCAAGTAAGAGCATAAGGAATGGCAGCCATTTGGAAAGTGTTTTCCTTTGGCTTCATTGCTGATAGACTATCTGCTGTTTGCCCTGCACTGTTGACCTTTCCAGTGAGGGTATGGCTGTGGACTGTCACTGTCAGGAGCATCTCACTCAGGTGGGGCTGCTCAGGATCCCTTGCCAAGACGACTCCCACATCAAGATCCTCATCCATCTCAGCACGCTGCACTTACAAGCTTTTTGCAAAGTCCCTTTCCTAAGAGGAAATTTTTTCCTTTGGACGGTACTCAGGTGAAGTCTGTCCTAGTGTAAGTGGCCAGCATGGTGGTCCACAGAAGTAGAGGACCCTGCCCCAGATAAAATGACAGGTCATCGACTAGCATCTGACCAGCTGAGAATGTGTGATTTTCAGCATCTCTTGGTGGTCACAGTGGGAACCTGGGCCATTACACTCTGGATGCAGGTCCTGGGCTTTGTTGCAAGACCCTCCCACCTCTCATCCAGTCTGTTTTTCTCCAGGAGGGAAGTGACCCAAAGATGTCGCTTCATTCTACCCTTAGGAGTTGAGACTTCAGAACCAGGCCACCTGGTCTGATGACTGACACAGCTAGCAGAGAGGCCTTGGTTCTTAGGGACTCTGAGAAGGTGTGATGTGTTCCACCAACGGAGGACCATGTGTGTGTGTTGTGTTTACACTGGCTTTCAGGCCCACTCATTGTCCTGTACACAAAGTATCCTTTGCCTCTAGAGCATCAAGATGAAGTAGATGCCTTCTCATGATGGGATTTTGTGCAAAGCACTTTCAAATCTCCTTGTAAACATGCTCCTGCAGGTGACTGCAGCCTGAGATAAATGACAGAGACACCGAGTCTGCAGAAAGATGGCTTTTAAATCCAGTTCAGTCAGGTCTTTTTCATCTGAAAAACACTAAAGGATACATAGTCCTTTAAAAAGCTTCAAAAAGTGAAGAGGAGGTGGAGCCAACAAAGGTTGAAGCTTGTTCCTCTGGATCCACAAGCCCGGAAAGGATCCTTCATTGTGTCTTTAGACCCAATTCTGTGTCCCGTGATCTTGGATCACAAACGTGGATCTCATTTCTATTCTGTCCTTGCTATTCACTGGACGGTTGCCAACCGGCCAAAGAAATTCCTCAAGTGACTCTTTCTGTGTGATCCAGGAAATGTGTACCCAAGTGCTACTCTGCATTGTGGGAGTAGGGTGCCAGTCAGGCAGGGACGAGATGTGTGTAGCTAGTGGCGTCTTCTATCTGGGCTCTGCACTGTCATATGTCCCTTTTCCTGTGGCATATGTGAGAACAAATCAACTGCCTCTGGCCATCCCAGCTAACTGCTGGTGCCTGCTATAACAACCATTTCAGTCCTATCAAACAGGGAAATTAGAATGTTGTTACTGTATCATATATGAAAATTCATACTTATGGTCATACAGTATATGAGGAGGAAGGTACAAATATGACCTGGTTAGACACACAAGGGTTCTTTTATACCCTGAAAGGAGAGCTCACACATCCACCATGAAATTCTCTTTCATCTTTATCTTAAATTGGTAAATCATAAGTTATTATCAGAAACAAGGTAAATGTTTAAACAAAAAATTAACTGCAGTAAAAGACACATTGCCATGAATCCCTCTCAAAATACTCCCTCACTTTGAATACAGTCATCCTATCATCCTTACTTCTTCAGAAGCATTTCAGGGAGTCCTCTTTCCTGTCTTTAATTACACTCCTGTAGGTGCCTCGATGTCCTGAATTCATCCAGAGCATTGACCTTTCCTGGTCATTTTGATTATGGGGAAGAGCTAGAAGTTGCAGGGTGCCAGGTGCAGAGAATCAGGTGCATAAGGACAGAATTTGTTTTACGAACCTGCCTTTCCATTGGATTGTACTCAGCAGCAGCATTCACTATATATGTGTGTATTTTGCATGCCTCTTCAAAACACTCTGGAAAGAGGACTTCCAGAACTACTTCAGAAACTGGCGAGAATGATCAGAGAAGTGTGCTGGAATTGAGGAGGAGAATTTTAAGGGAAATTCATATCAATGTGTCTTTTACTGTAGTCAATTTTTTAAAAAATTTAAACATTCCCCATATATTGTGGTTACAGCTTCCATAGGTGACAGCTCAGACACGTTATACCTAAGGATGCCTTTCCTGGCTCAGGGTGAGACATTCATTCCCAACAGAGCAGTCCCACCCTCTGGCCCAGCTCCCACAGAACCCTGTGCTCTGTCCCACAGGAGGGCGAGGTGTGGTCCTCAGCTAACTGCACCATCTGTGCCTGTGTGAACGGCAAGACGGAGTGTCACAGGAAGCAGTGCGTGTCCATCAGCAGCTGCCCGCAGGTATGTCTGGACAGCCGTCTACCCTCTCTTCACCTTAGCTTGGGAAACATCCTGTGTAAGCAGGTCGCCTGCCACCTTCTGAACGCAGAAGCCACATCTGGCAAAGCCTTCCAACCAGGGAAGCCTGGTCCCCAGCAAAGCTTCCTCCTTCTGCCCAATCTCGCTCACGTAAACACTCCCCACCTGCACTTGTCCAGCTCCTCAACTCTTTTCTTCTATTAACTGTAAAGTATCTTGTTTTATTTCTTAATTTTTTTATTTTAAAGGGAATAAAACAAATCAATAAAATAAACAAAACAGAACACTGTTGGATTTCAAATACAAGACAAAAGAAAATCCCCCCCATAGTTGCTATATTGCATTTTGTTTTCCTCTAAATAGATGCTCAGACTCCCAGCTTTAGGCCTGCAAAGTCAATCAAACAATACAAGCATTAAGTCATTTTTTTTATTTCAATAGCTATCATCTAAGCCAGTGTTCCTCTGAATCAGCTGGTTGCTAACTGGCATGTGGGGGTGGGGAGCTTGTCTCCCAGCCTGTGTACATGCCAGCTCCCAGGAGGGGATTGGCTTCTTGGTTCTCCTCCCAGAACACTGCTGCCTCTGGGTCCTTGTTTGTTTGTTTGTTTTTTTAAAAGAGAAAAAACAAAAATGATTTTAAAAGTTCAAGACAAGATAGTAGAGTAATAATGCTTAATATAGTGTGTATTGTTATCATCAAAGTAGTTACTCATATTACAAGATATAGCATGAAAAACTGATCAAACAATATAAACACAAACCTTTCTTTTCAATGAACCAATTGAAACTAGTATAAGTATCATACATATCCTTTTCCGTTCCTTCTCTCCATCCCCCATCCCAGTTTCTCTTTCCTTTACAGGGTCTTCCCATTTCACAATATGCATTGCACATTTTGGATCTTACTGGCTTCTCCCAATGCCCTTTAACGAACCTCTCCAACTCTGCTTAGACCTGGTCCCTGCTTTCTTTTGCTATATTTTCTTTTTAACATCCTGACCATCTTTTGCCTTTCCCTTCCTACTCTCCCTTCTCGAATCACAGCCTTCTTCTCATTGACAGAGTGAAGTCTGGCTGCTTACTACCAAATTCTCCAAGTTTCTCCAGCCTAGCAGCAGCCAGGGGCCTTTGCTCAAGTTCTCTGTCCACCCTGGCCTCAGATGGAAGGAGTGTCCTTGTGGAAATGTCTCCTTTCAAAACTCAGAGTCTGGCATGTGGAATAAAGCACCGTTATCTTCTAAAGCAAGGAGATAATGAATTCATTGAATTCACCTCAGCAACTCCAAACCTTTCAAGGTTTCACGCATTTTGGGAAAATGTCAAACCTATTCACCACCTTCCAGTGAATGAGAACAACGGGTATCCATATATTCAGGACTTGTCCTCCCTTCTCTGTTATAGAGAGCTTTTAATTTCATTCACATCTGGTATTATGATAAACAAAAGTTGCTTTTTTCACTTGAGTGCCAAAAGAGGTACAAGAAAACAACAGCTGCTGCTGTTGCACAACTGAATTAAGAGGGGAAAGAAGAAGGAAAAACCCTAATTAGTGTTGCTTTAAAAAGCCTGACAGAAAACTGAAAACCTCTTATAAAAAAAAGAGAAAGGAGATGTGGTAGGCTCAAGCAGAGGCTGTTATAAATATTCATTGGGGAAAGGGGTTCACATCATTTATGCTGTCCTCAGGGGGCCCTCTGTGCTAATGAGTCTCTCAGCACATGTTAGTGATCTCAGCTTCCTCCTGCTGCAAGACACAACGGGCTGTGCCAACCCAGTGGCTCAAGCAGCTCACTCCCAGGCCTGGTGAAGCCCCCAGCTCCACTTGGGCGTAGGGTTGCCAGTTGTCATTGTTCTCTTGCCACACAAAGGGCATCATTCTTTATGTCACCAGTATCTCATGAGTGGTCCTCCTTCCTGAACCACAAATGGGCTCCCTGCAGAGCCCTTTCCCAGCCCTTCCTCTGCACCTTGCCAAGCTTGTTAGCATCTTGAGCAGGCAGCAGCCACAGAGACCACCTTTCTGTTCCTGTGTGTCTTTCCAGTGGGTCCTCGTCTTCCCCCCATCCCTCCTCAGATTTGCAGACTTACCTCTCCTCCTCAGCATCGCCTGGGGGAACTGAAAAAAAAATGAACTTAAAGAGCATCTGCAATTCCTGCTTTGTCCTTGGCTGCCACACAGCTCTTTTCCACAAGTCCATGTGTCTTGCTGCAGAAGGATTTAGTGTTGAATTCCCAGCCTGTCCCCACCCGCAACTCCACAGGGACAAAGGAATGTGGCCTGTGAGAAGGGCTGCCAGGGCTCCCATGGGCACTAGGTCAGATCATCATGACACTATCCTCTGATGTGTACTGGAGCTTTCTCGGTGGTCCCGCACTTAACTCTGAGACCTCCCACCGTGGGTGCCATGAGTGCTCCTCTTTACACACAGGGCTGCAGGGAGTTAGACCTTCACAGCCAATTACATGGAGCTACACTCTCTGACTTCGCACCTTGCTTTTGGTTTATTTCCCGCCTGATTTTGTGACATGATCTGTACCAACTTCTTTCCCCAAGAAGGGAGATGTCAGTTTCTGGCCCAGTATAGATACGGGGAATCCAGCTACATTGTGTTCCGGACCTGGCATTAATCCTTTCTGCTCCATGTGGATAGAGAGGCTCCCTCAAATCCTGGGTCATTCCAGGGATTGAGCTGACTCATCTGGCTTTGTCTTCAGCTGCTTCCAGTTATGATAAATTAAAGACGGCTCCGTGCCAAATAGAAACAGATAGCAGAACTATGGGAAATGAGGTGTCTTGGTTATGTTTCTCTCATTGCTGAGACAAAATATCCAACACCTGAAATGAAGGCAAGAAAGGTTTATCTAGCTTACTGTTTGTGGAGGTTTCAGTCCATAATCAGCTGGTTCCAAGGCAGGGTGGCATGTCACAGGGACAACACTTCAAGGCAGCAGCCAGAACAAAAAAGGGAAAGAGCAAGCCTCATTTCCTCCCTTATATTGTACACAGGCCACCCCATGCCCTCCAGGGCCACTGTAGCACTCACAAAATTCCTGTGCCCTCCTCTTGCATGAGCTCAGGATGTTTATAAAGGAAGGATCCTGGCTCCTTGCTGAGTCTCTTAGTTAAACTTCTAAACTTCTCAAGTTAACACAATGTATTAACAATAACAAAAGGTGTCCTGATGGCCCCTAAGCCATGGCATGGCTGAGTGGGGCTGAGTTTGAAGTCTCATTCAAAGTTGCCATGGCCTTTAATGTGTCCTAAATGATACAAGAAAACAGGAAAGACCTGGTTCTGGTTTCAAAATAGTTAACCAGCATTTAAAAATCGATATAATTGTTTATTTTTTAAATACCTATACCTGTTCTGATGCATCTGGCCTCAGTGAATGAGCAGTGTATGACCTGTGTGTCCTTGTCATTGCCTGTGGGTGTCCTCTCTGTGGTCCTGTTTCCTTACTCTGAAAACTGGACAAAGCCCCTCCATCTGGAGGGTGGTGGTGTTTAAATGAGATACAGTGTGAGGGATGTGTAATGTAGGACAGAAACTCAATCAATGTTAAATTCTCCTAAAATAAAAGGCTGTGGAGGATGGAAATCTGTGGTGTGAAGATCACAGCCTTGTGGGTGACACAGCCAGGTTTAGTTCTAGGTTTCACCTTCCCCATTTCATGTCATCAACAGTGAAAAGCAAAGTGCTTAGCTCGTAAGGTTCTTGTGCTTCTTAATAACAATGGATATAATAATCTTAACCCCTCAATATAGTTAGCTCCTCACACTTGTACAAGTAACCCGATGTTATGTGATGGACCTGAGGAACCCACAAGAAATCTGTGACACAGGAAGTGCTCCTAAATGCTGATTTCTTTTCACATGACTTTTCCCTGTGATTAACCGCTGAGTTACAAACAAGGCAGAGTTGTCCTCTGTGCTTGCTCTTCTAAATGTCATGCAGTAAAAACTTGAAAAGGCACGCAGTGAGGAAAATTTGCAGTGAGTTTCCAGAAAGTAAGGGAAATCACTTAGAGTTTTAGAGGGCTGGGTCCCAGTGGCTCTACGCGAATCTCAGTGACTTGACACAGTTAAGACACCACTTTCTGCTAGAAAGACTCTCACCAAGCTTGATCCCTAGCACACCCACGCCCGCAGGATGCAAGAGCCCTGAGCCTGGACTGCAATTCACTGTTCAGGCTCCTCCCAGAAGCAAAGAGAAGAGGAAGAGACCTGCCAGAGTGGCAGGTCGGCAGGCAGTGCCCTCTGTGTGTGTGCCCTGCATAACTCTGAGGGCCTCCAAGGCCACGTGAGAACCCCGACCCCTGCAAGGCCTGCAGTCCTCACACTTCTCAGAGGATACACACAGGAAGGACCAGGCCTGGCCTCAGAACCCCATACCTGAAACCCCACCTAACCATTATCAGCACCTTCTGGGTGCCGCCCTGATTTCCTTGGTTTATCTGGTATTAGATTTAAAAGTAGAGCTTTGTCTTCAGCAGACCCTGTTTTTAGCATTAACTGTATTTGTTTTTCTCTTGATTAGGGCAGAATTCTCAACAGAAAAGGATGCTGCCCGATTTGCACTGAAAGTAAGTTCATTGCTTTGAAAATGTGCTATCGCTATTTGTCTGGCATTTTATGACACAATAAGGAAACTAGTAGTGTCATTTTCTGAACACTTTAATTGTTTGGACCTGGGATGGAGTCGTTCCCCTCACTACAGACTCGTTAATCAGCTATAATCCTCTCACAGAAGCATGATTGAGACAAATGTGGGTTTTTAATCAGAACTTGTTGCTATGAGAATCAAGACGATAAATGATCTGATGAGATTTTAAAAAGGGCCAGATAACATAAACATAATGCGCATTTTAACTGCTAATAGCATTTGCAGTCATAGCTGCTGAGATAATGACATCCAGGAACACGAAGGTCCCTAATCCAGGAGGGATTCTGTGTCTCTCAGGATGAAACCACACAGCTGCGCTTCCTCCCTCAGCCCGACCCCTGCTCTTCACCCCTTTGCCTGGGCACTGCCAGAGGGGCTGGGGATGAGGTCACAGAGGTCATTGGCCCACGATGGCACTGTAGTTCTGTGACTTTTAACTGAGCTCTTGGAGCTTCTTCCTGCATGTGGCCTGTATTGGAAGCCAGCTGAGATGGCACAAATAACCCCAGGGCAGAGAAGGCAACTGGTTTCCAATCAGATGCCCATAAACATACCTGCAAATCACCATTTCAGTCCTTCTCAAATGCATGTGGCTTTGAGATGGCTTTCCAAAGTATTCACTGGAAAAGGGATGTTAGCAATGCTTTGTCAGGTTAGTTCTGTGTGTGATGGACAGGATTAAGGAAGCCAGGAAACCTGTTAGTAAGTATCTTGTGAGCCCATCAGGCCACAAGGAGTTTTCTTCATCACAGGTGACACCAGGTTTCTAACTTGGTAGAATTCAGAAAATAATACAGGAAGAAGAATTTGTTATCATTACCACACTAGCAGATTTAAGGTAATTTGTATGAACTATAACATTTAACATTTTTAGAGACTCTCTATAAAGAAGAAGCTTTTTAAAAAAATAAGTACTAGAGATTGAATACAACCAGTGGTGGCAAACCTGTGGCACACAGGTTACAGTAGGCTGTTGGTTATCATTGAAAGCTCTTTTTAGTTCACCCTCACAGAACCCAATGTTTTTGCACTGAGCTACATTCCTAGCCTCTTTTGTTTTTAATTTCCTTTTTATTTCGAGAAAGAGTTGCTAAGTTTTTGAGTTACCCATACTGGACTCAGCTTTGGAAACTTCCTGTCTCATCCTCCCAGGGAACTGGGATCACAGGCATGCACCACCATGCCTGGTTCAGAAGCATTGTTTAAGGATGGTTCTGGGGCCGCTTTCAGCCTCTTTGTTTTCTGGGTGAGCAGCTGGAGACTTCATGGATGAAGTTTTCCTGTGTAGCCATGGCAATGGGGACTTTGGCACTCTCCTATGAAAGGTCTCCTGTGTAAAGCAAGAATAGGCCTTATAAAAACTCCTAGTATTTTCTGATTTCCCCTCTTAACATGCATATGGTTAGATCACATCCAAAATCCCATTGTCATCAGGTAGGATCACTACTCTTAGCTTCTTAAAAACATACAGCCAGCCTGATCCAGAAAGAGTTCAAATCTTGAATTACCCACTTTATGTCATGAGAATCTTTAACAGGTGAGTATTGGAGACTTGGGAGCAAAGCTAAATTTTGTTACATTTAGTTTACCCATTGTGAATTGGCCTTTCCATATCTAGACGGAAAAGAAAGAAAAACAAAGACTAGAAGGATGGACATGATAACAGGGCCAAATCAGCAACAGTCACGTTAACTCTTGTGAGAAGGCATACAAAGGAGCCCTGGCCTCCATCACCAGGAGAGGCAGCTGGCATGGGCAGAAGCCACCCAGCTGCAGGGACACCTGGAGGCCACTGACTCTGCACCTGCATCAGGCAGGTCAGAGCTGAGGCACTCAGGCATGCGGTTCTCTGTCCAAATCTAAATTATATCATCGATGGCGATTTCTCAACTTCCTGCGATGTTCTTTCCATGTGTTTATGCTCTCTCCTCTCCAGCAGCCCTTCCATCCCTGCTGTAAAATTCATTCTTCTTGGCCAGGCTCATCTGCTCATTCAGTTCAGAGATGGGGTGGCTTCCAGTTTTTATAAGCAATGTCCAGCCTTCACAGTGCAGTCAGGTAGACTTGTTGCGATGTCCTTTTAGCTATGGCCTCTGTACCAAAATTCTTTTTGTTACTTTGTCCAGGATCCAGAACAAATGTTTGAGCTCATTTTCCCTCCTCTGTCAATTACAAAAGCTCTTTTGCTGTGTAGGTTTTTAGAGTAGACGAAGCATATGAAGCAAGCCTCCTGTTTTCTAAAAAACAGAAAAATATGACTTACTTGTTACTAATGCATTTTGTTATTCATTTTTAATAATACTTGCATACACATACACACATTTGCATGTGGACACACACCCCACAGTTACAGATTGATCTACGATTTTCTTTTTAAAACATTTCTTAGAAACATTTTAACTAATAAACCAAATATGAAAGCTGTACATGCTAATGGGGTATTATCTAATGTTTGTGTCCACAGTGTTCTAATCTAGTTAAGTATACCCTGGGATTTTCAGCCTCCATCTTTGGCCAGATGACTCTTTGTGGTGGGGCTGTCTTTGCGTGACAGGTTATTTAAGAGCATCCTTAGACTCTGCCCACTAAGTGCCCCTTCCCAAGGTTGTGACAACCCAAAATGCCTCTTGCAGGTCAAAATTACCCCCGTTCAAGAACCTCAGCCCTACTCGAAAAGGGACAGAGCCCAGATGAGGGCAGAGGTGAGCAGCTGCAGAGCTGGAACAGTAACCCACTGTCAGTGCTGCAGCTGACACACTAGAGAACACAGGGTTGCTGCCCTTCCCAGCCTGCAGGCGGAATTCAGAGCCCCTGGGTTTGCTTGAATATGGTTTTGCATTTAATGCCCCAGCTCTACAGAGGATTATAACTTGATGGATCAAAAGTCACCATTTCTGCTTTCATTGTAAACTAGAAATAAATTTGGAGCCCAATTCCAACTTGAATGTTAAACTCATTTCTGGTTTCATGTGTACATTCACGTTTGCATGTTTTGAATTGCTCAGTAGGGGTGTGTGTGTGTGTTCCCTTCAATTCTTTCTTGAAAGGAGGCAAAAGTGCATTGAGTAGGTTAATTACAGATCTCAAATACTCCCCTACTGCTTTTGATTCTCAATATTGTTGCATTATTTCCAGCAGGGGTGGAGCTGTGCCTCACTGCTGCAGAATTTCTTCGTGCCTGCTTTGGTCTTAGTCTTGGTTGTTTTTGATAGTAAGGAAGAAGCATGAATATGCAGACCCTTTATCTGGGTGCCTTTGCAGTGGTCAGCTGTGCTGGTGTCTCACAGTCCTGTGGGTGGGGAGCGATCATGGAGGAATGGAAGTGTAGGTTCCCCTCTGAGTAGCACTGAGAATTCTATCCAGAGGAAGGGAAACTTCTCTTAAAACCAGACCTGCGAAGAGTGCTTAAGAACATTGCTGGTTTTTTTTTAATAGCTTGTGATTATTCTGTTTCCAAAAAAAGTAGTAAATTTGGTTTGGATGATTTACTTAAAAATAAAATATTTGAAGTGAGGTAAACAATTTTCAGAGAGCTTTTGGCAAATGCTGCTTCTTGCCAAGCTATGAGGTGCAGCCTGGAGTGGCCTCCCTGTGTGGGGCCCAGGCTGACCCTGAGCCAGGGGGCACAAGGGCCGCTTGCTATGCGTGTGCAGTGTTTAATAACTTTATGTGAAATGTTGTTTTTCTGTGAGTTGGCAGACAGTGTGTGGAATTTTGACCTGGCCTCTCCACAAAAGACCTGAATCAGATAAGCTCTTCCTGACGGAATGTCTGTTTTCAGACCTAGAAATAATACTTAGAGAAAGAGTTTTCACTGAAAAGAGAGATGTGTGAGAGTTTGTGAGTGTATTTCTATCTGTCTGTCTCTGCCTGTGTGTCTGTGTGATGTGCTTGTATGTACAGGGAGAAAGGGCAGTAAGGAGGAATGGGGAGAGATGGAGATACGGGTTATATGAGAACATTTAATCTTTTAATCATCCATAAGACCAGATGCAGCCAGATGTGGACAGCTGCTCCCAGGTGTGGTAGACAGATAGACTGTGGCAGTGCATGTGCTGCCTGCATGCAGACCTAACCCTGAGCATCCCAGCCTAAGGGAAAGCTCTGGATTGCACAGCTCTGCTGTAGGGCAGGGATGCTGAGCACAGAGGCACATTTCATTGCAGTAACCCCAAGGGCTCCTCCCTCACGGTGACAGGAAATACCACATTTCAGCATCTCAGAGTGTGGGGAGGCTCACAGTTTCCAGGTGACTTCCTAATCCCCCCAAGGGTGAGTTTCTAGCTGTGTGCACCTCCTGAGTCTGCTCTAGCTCCAGCAGGCCTTAGCCCACACCCACCAGGGTGGGCAGAATTTGCCCCATGGAATTTGGGCAAATCTTACTTAAGGCCCTGGATACCTGCAGGTGTCTACAATTAAACAGGGTCACTCTAGGAGAAGGAATAAAACAACAGTTTCAATAATCCCCCTGGAAAAAAAGCCTCAATAAAATCATGACCTTGGGGCCTAGTTTACGAGTATCCACAAGTTAGTGATTCTGTGTTTGAACAAGGTTTCTGGCTGTGGAGAGTGTGAGCAACTCCAGGTCCCTCAACTCTGAGATTCTGTCCTTAACCAAGAAAGCAAACAAACATGAAACCAGAGCTGCAGATGCTGGGAGCTCCAGATACTGGTGTTGACACCAGCCCTGCCAAGGAGTGCTAAGCCAGGTGGCCCCTGTGGGCTAGGCTTGAGCATCTTGACGCCACTCCTGAGGTTGTGGTGGCAGTCAGAGGGGCACATGAAACCCGACCTTGCCACACACGGTGGTCAGGAGAGCCCACACTGGAGGGAGAAGCAGTGTCAGGAAGAAGAGGAGAAATCAGCTTGTTTGCTGTGCTGTTCTGCCCAAAGGGGTGCAATAATTTTAACTTTTCTTGC